TAAATTAAATTACATTATTAATATATAAAAAAATTGTTATATAGGAGCACTATAATTATTATAGTATAACATTATATTATACTATACAGGGTATACTATCGCATAAATGTAACATGGAATAATTTTCAAAATTCTACACTGTTCCAACCACTGTAATACAAAACAGCAATTGAAAACTTCACACGAAAAATCATACATATAGTGAAACCGATATCATAAAAAAACGATATTTTTAAAAAAATTATAATACAAACGAAAATTCATTAATTCCATAAAAGCAAATTCAAGATGATAGATCAATTTCGCTCGCACTTAGAAAATCATTAAAACTAAAAGATCAGTTCGATTACGTCTAAACAATGATATCAAATCTACCCATCGCTATTTGTCCGAAAACATAAACGTCATACGTCATATCGTGAGTGAGAATCTCTAAATCTTGCACCACGTGTTACCATACTACGTATATAATTCATTTGATAAAATTATCGCGACGCAGATACGCGTTTCAATTAGCCTAAATGCCTGCGTCTCTTATCCCCACCCGTCTCATAAGAGGTCAGATCTCCGAAGTCATTTGCCGAAATTAAATTATAATTATCTGCCACCTGCGGTCCTTTTCATCGACCATGCGATACACGATTGGCCATGTTGGAACCTAATCGCGACAGATTACGCTACAAGTACTCGAAGTCGATTTAAATCTATCACTGGGAAAGATTCTGAACGATTAAGATCATCACTTGTGGCATCAGAAATGGATCATTGGCCTTAAGAACGATGACGATTCCGATGGTAATCGCGTCAGCGCTATGCCATTCGATGATCACGATAACCACGATGTTTGGAAACAAAACGATCCTTCTTGAGACTGAGATCGTTCTAAGCCACGACGACGATCGATCTTGCCTTTATCGGCGACCAAACTTTCCACTCGGGCATGAATCGCTATTTCAGACTTATCGTCCCGAGTTACTATAATTACTATAATTTTGAAGTGTCCACGCGTTTACAATTTTACGATCGATCGATCGAAAATGCATGTATCTGTGGTTTTGGAATTGGTAAAGAGAAATGGAGAGGGGAGAAATCGGATGGTGGATCACTTCTCGAGATACTTGTGTGAAATGAAAGCGAAGATATTTATTTGAACTTGTGTGAAATAAAAGCAGAGGTATTTATTTAAATTTGTATGGAATAAAGGCAAAGATATTTATTTAGACTTGCGTGAAATAAAAGCAGAGGTATTTATTTAAATTTGTGTGGAATAAAGGCAAAAATAATTGTTTAAATTTGTGTGAAATAAAGGCAAAAATATTTATTTATACTTATGTGGAATAAAAGCAAAGATATTTATTTAAACTTGTGTGAAATAAAAGCAGAAATAATTGTTTAAATTTCTGTGAAATAAAGGCAAAGATATTTATTTAAACTTGTGTTGATTAAAAGCAAAGATATTTATTTAAACTGTGTGGAATAAAAGCAAAAATAATTGTTTAAATTTGTGTGAAATAAAGGCAAAGATATTTATTTATACTTATGTGGAATAAAAGCAGAGATATTTATTTAAATTTGTGTGAAATAAAAGCAGAAATAATTGTTTAAATTTGTGTGAAATAAAGGCAAAAATATTTATTTAAACTTGTACGAAATCAAGGCAAAGATATTTATTTAAACTTGTGTGAAATAAAAACAAAGATATTTATTTAATCTTGTGTTGATTAAAAGCAAAGATATTTATTTAAACTTGTGAGAGAAAAAATTCTAATGGAATGTTCACATGTGCCAAATTTTTTAATTTTGTAAATTTTGAGAATTCGAAACTTTGAATTTCTCTTTTTGTAAATCCCAAAATTATAGAAAATGTATGTATAAAGAATTCTGTATGGTTTGAAAAGTGTTCAATTTATTGAACTCCACGAAGAAGAGCTTTATCTACCTGAATCCGTTCTAGGGGAAACTAGGGACTTTGATATAATACAATAAAACCCATCGAAACCGCAGACCATCTTTTCCCGAGTAAGTTTATGTCTGCTCTTGATGTATTACTGAATTAAATAATTAAATAATTAAATAATTAAATTTTCATTCCAGCAAATGAACTTTAAAATTATCCATCTCGAGATAGTATCAAGAAATTTCGTATCATTATTTGAAACAAATTACAAGATTGTAGACACAGTAATGACAGCAACGGATGCACCTGTGTCATTATACTTAATTATTATCTCTAATTATGTTTCGTTGCAGATCATTATATCATTAACTCCAATAATTAACGACACTGAACAAACTGTAAAATGAATAACAGACTTGATGATTATTATTATGCTTTCCAGTTTGTTCAGAAAGCAATTTTCATGATTATTATCGCGTACAAAGGGCAGCCATATTTTTCTCCCGTTTCCTCGGATGGTGCAATTAAATGGGCTATTTTCCTCGAACCATTCTATTTTTCTTCCTCTGTTTTCCCACTAGGTGCAACTAAATGCGCCATTTAACTTAAAATGGCGGACGCCTGTCGCGAAAGAGACCAGACGAAGAAATGCGTTGTGCAACGTTGAACGGATGTTAGTATTCAAGGTTCGATTCGATCATTCGATATATAACAGAGATCAATGTCGTGTTTCGTGTTGCGACAGCTCGATTCGAGCATTTCTAGGATGGTTCCTTTTGTTCTCAGCGAGGATGCAATCGAAGTGCTATCATGACTGAACAAAGGAAGACGATAGATCGTAACTCGTCATTGAGAAATCGAGACGAAGGAGGTAAAAATTTCGTAAATATTCGGTTTATCGAACTGTTCGCATTTTTATCGTCATCCTGATTACATTTTTATTACATTTTTTGAAGACAAAGATCTATTTCTAAGATCCTAGATCCAAATCCAAGCGAGGCTTATTCTACAATCGAATTTTGTAAGATAAGAATTATATTATTTTTTGAGATCAATTTATTATTACATTATAGTATAGTCTCGGCTATATATATTTTTAGCTATTAATTATTAAATTAATCGATTTTCGTAAATTTATTTCTTTAAATAATTTAATTAGCAAGGACGGAATAGGAACCATGCTTGTGCAAGAATCTTTGCTAACATTTTAAAATATTGCAACTCAATTTAAGTTTATAGTATATCAGAGTTAATTTAATAATAAGTAAAATGAAATATGAACTTTTGGGAAAATTGTCCAAGCTGAGAAAACAGTAATCAAAAATATATACATAACTCATAATATTCCATTATCCTATATACGATTATTTTTTGATCTAAGAGAAGTAAAAGTTAAAAAATTTGCAATTTCTTTTCAATTTAATTATCCAACCAATAATTGTGGCAATATTTAAATAATTGGAGGTACTGAATTTTTCTTAAATTATCAAATGTAACAGCAGTCAAATATCAATCAAAATCACACCCACTTTTCTTTTTGTGATACTCATAAGAATTAGAATATCTATTTTTAAGAATATTTACAAAATTGTAGCAATTAGTTTACAATTAGTTTACCACGAAATAAAAAGTAACTATGCAAAATAAATAACTACTATAGAATTCAACAATACAATAACCAATCGTACATATAATAACTACAATAAAATAGCAACAAGACAATAACAAATTTACATTCAAAAAGCAACTATAAATATAATCAAAAATATAATAAAAAATATATTAAAAAATATAATCAAAAA